AATTGGCTGTATAAATGTATCACGAGATAAACCATGTAACGTTCTTAGACTTGCATTGCTAACATTCTTCGAGAAGCCCAAGGAATATTGCTAATACCCCTCAACTCAATGTGCGGCACTCTCGTCCTCACTCCACAGACATCCACAGAGACCATAATACAGAATCTGGTCAATGACGAAGCAAACTACTATCCCTCACTCGAGGAGGTCTTCACCGGTATGTTACTAGGAGATGTTAAGGGCCACAGTACAAGCTACATTGATAATGTACATAGTTTGCGCTATATATATATGTATATATATATATATATATATATATAGTATAAAATATAGTCATACGCAAACGCTACAAGTACATACACGCATATGCTAAATATGCACCCTCACCGTCGCACGCACCAGTGCCCACATTGCATCTTCAGCATACATACATCAGCAAACCTCCTCATCCCCATCCGCCGCCCCACTCTCACCCGTGCACCTTCACACTCACACTCACACTCACACTCACGCATACACACGTGTTTATGCGCAGAGTTCCCGTTCCTTGGATACACCGATGAGCCGTTAGAGGAGCCCTTGCTTTATGTGCCGTACTACGCACCCGATGGCACGGATCTGCACAGCGCTGCGGTGGAACTCAATGTGCTGCTGACGGATATGAGCGTGGGCAATGCACAGGTGTGTGTGTGTACGTGCATGTGTTTGCATGCCTGTGTGTAAGTATGGGCATATGTTCTAGGGCTATTAGAGTTTTAAGGTTTTAGTAAGGTTTTAGGGTTTTAGTGTTTTAGGGTTTTAATGTTTTAGGGTTTAGGGTGTAAAGTTTAGGGTTTAAGGTTTAGAGTTTTACGTGTGCTTGTTCATGTCATTATGTACATGCATATAACACACATAGCGGCGGTTGAGATTGAGCTTCGTTTGCGATATCTGTGTATGAATGTGTATATGAGTAGTTACCTGTTATTCACATATAATGTATACAGAACAGAACACATTGGTATATGATTCGAGTGACTACACACATTCAGTGTTGTGCATTAATATTTCATTGCACTGTGGGTAATTCAGCAAATGGAGCGGCCAGTTCTGTTTTTAACTCACTATTGATAGTATACATATAT